TCTTATCCTGGTTTCTTTGCATTCTAAGGACGGTGGTATTCCCCGTAATCTAAGACATTTTGGCAATTTTTTTCCTGAATAGAATTAAATCTTTGTTGAAGAAATGAGGACTTCCTTGAAGTCTCTGCAAGCTTCGTTGGCGTTACCCCTTCCCGACTGGGCAGTAAGGGTAGCGGTAAAATAAGTCTATACCTCCTTTAGATAGTTCGACAGCACCGCTTTCGGAGGTAACGGGTTCGAATTCATTCAAACTAGAATCTTAACCTTAACCACGAATACCATTGAGCATAAAATAATCCTCAAGTCACTTCGGTCGAACCATTCGAGGAAAGGGATAGTAAGTGGGTCACTTGCGAATATTAAGGACAGCGTGGTATACTGATCTTGCCATGCCAAAATGAACGGTTTGATTCGAGAGACCTCACTGTAACTGCAATTTGCCTTCTCACACATGATAATTAATTATCCAGTGTAATTATCAGTTAAGGGTGCAACATCGATTTAGATTCCGATTAATTGGGTCAGAATGGCTATTTGGTGTGGTTGTGCCGCAGCATGCAGAGCGTACAGCTATTTTTTTTTTTGGACGCGCGCCTTTGTCGTTAAAATTTCCATTGACCGTCCTGACAGGTGACCAAAAGTCAGCATAAGGTATAAACAAAATTAAATTAAGAAGTCCTAATCATTGTTCGCTTCAGCAATAATTATTCAATATCAGATCTCTATATTTACCTGCAAATCGAAATAACAGTACAGTTTCGGTCAAAATTGTGCGAGTCTGCCGTAAAGGTCTGCTAGTGAAGTTTTCGTCGCTGACTGTGCAGTATATGAGATCTTGTGAAAATTTTTACAGTGTACGTTGAAAGCTTTTATGAAAAATATTTGCTCGGTATTTTATGTAAACATGGCAGTTTTTGTCATAATTCAATCTGAATAAGTTCAGTAAGGAATTCCGAAAACATGATTTCAAGCGATTGTTTTATAAGCCTAGTTCAGCATGCGCCTCTCGGCAGGGACGGTTATTCTTCATTGTTTTACTCTTTGTTATTTTTTGTTTAATTGCCGTTTTGTGTCACGATGCGTCACAGCAGGTTGTTAAAGTTTGAAAGCACATATTTACGTAGTATTTTGGAGTCAGCTTTACTCACAATTCGCCACTTTCTGAGCCGTTTTTCGGTAATGCGAACTTATCTCACTAAGGCAAAAATTGGGCTGAGAGGAATGATAGTTTGCGATAGATTTTGGTCAAACCTGTAGTTTGGTTCGTATTACTAACCTTATTGTTTCCCAGCTGGAAGTACATTTCGTTACTGACTGCCACGACAAACCGGCATTCTACTGTTGGAACTGGTGGAGAATGAATTTTTTTCAAATGAGTAAGGGTATTCTTATTCATCAGAGGATTTTAGATTATCTGATTAATTTTCAGTTTTATCTGATTAATAGTTTTCGCAAGGACACGACAAGCACCGAACTCTGCTAATAGCAGAAGTGCAAATGCACAAACCCGCAAGGCAGCGTAGCTTTGCAGAATAATGACGAAAATCCGTTCAAGGATGTTAGGACCCCTTTCCACTCGACTTTCCTCCGACCGTTGGCCTTTGAAGAATTTTGATTGTGTATGGAGGAGGATCGATTTGCAGTCACTGACGAGCGTGGGATAGAAAACGTTCAGCTCTTTTGCATGGTAGTTGTGCTTTATTCCGCATCGTAGTTTCCCAAGTGCGCAAAGGGCCTGAAGAAGTATGGATCGAGGTAGAGGAGGGTGAGAAAAAGAGTAGAAGTATGTGACAGTTTCAAGTAATAGATTCTATGAATAAAAAT